GCCTCCGAGTAGCTGGGACTACACAGCGCCGGCCACCACGCCCGGCTAGTTTTTTGTATTTTTAGTAGAGACGGGGTTTCACTGTGTTAGCCAGGATGGTCTCGATCTCCTGACCTCGTGATCCACCCGCCTCGGCCTCCCAAGTGCTGGATTACAGGCTTGAGCCACCGCGCCCGGCCAATGGCTTTTTTTTTTTTTTTTTTCTTCTAATTTGCAATAAAAACATATAAACATTAAAAGAGAACAGTTTTCCCAAACATTGTTTATATCCAAGGGGGGTTTGTTTATAGAAATTTATCTCACATACTGTGGGTTTTAAGAGTCCCTGCATTTGGGAAAGTTGTTGGAAAGTGGGCATCTTAGTTTCTGTATTGAGATCTGGGTTGGATTTGGGGCTGAGGGAAATGGAGAGGGGTTAGGAGGAGGCTTAGCCTCCTCTGCTTGCACCCTGCTTGGCCTGGGTGGTGGTTCCAGCTACCTTGTGTCAACTCACCTCTGTCAGGAGCTCCAAGATATGTCCTTTGCCCTTCGTGAACACATCCACCAGGGTCTGGATAAAGCACGAGCCTTTCTGATCATGTCGGTAGGCGATGTATCCTGGGAATTCCAGAGAGGTGAGTTCGGGGGAGCTTCAGAGGGTAGGTAGAGGAGATCCTGGAAGGGGGTGGGTCCTGGAGGAGAGGTTCAGGGGTCGGGAGCGGCAGGTGACGGGGAATAGCAGAGGGAGCCCTGGGCCAGCTGGGCGCTCATACCCTCCACCGTGGAGTAGACGTGCAGGGCATCTGTGTATGTTGGGATGGTTTGGGGGCTGTCTTTGGTGACCATCAGAATCTCATCTCCACCTACTGTTTCACCAGGATCCTTTTGTTCTGAAACAACAAGAAGAGGAGGAGGCAAAGTCAGAGAGAAAGGTAAGGAAAGGGGCCGGGCAGGGTGGCTCACACCTGTACCCCCAGCGTTTTGGGAGGCTGAGGCAGGAGGATCACTTGAACCTGGGAGTTTGAGGCTGCAGTGAGCCATGATTGCACCACTACACTCTAGCCTGGGTGACAGAGTGACATGTCGCCTCTTAAAAAGGAAGGTAAGGGCTGGGTACGGTGGCTCACGCCTGTAATCCCAGCACTTTGGGAGGCTCCTGAGGTCAAGAGTTTGAGACCAGCCTGACTAACATGGCGAAATGCCATCTCTACTAAAAATACAAAAATTAGCTGGGCATGGTGGCATGTGCCTGTAATCCCAGCTACTTGGGAGGCTGAGGCAGAAGAATTGCTTGAACCCAGGAGGTGGAGGTTGCAGTGAGCCAAGATCGTGCCATTGCACTCCAGCCTGGGCAACAGAGCAAGACTCTGTCAAAAGAAAAAAAAGATGATCTGGTGGTATGCCATGTGCAGTCGGGCTTTTTAATTTAATTTAACTTTTTAGAGACGGGGCTTGCTTTGTTACCCAGATTGGAGTGCAATAGTGTAATCATAGCTCACTGCAGCCTCTAACTCCTGGGCTCAAGTGATCCTCCTACCTCAGTCTCCTGAGTAGGTAGGATCACAGACCCATGCCACCATGCCCTTGGCTAATTTAAAAAATTTTCTGTGGAGCTGGATTCTTGCTACATTGCCCAGAAGCCAGTCTGGATCTTCTGGCCTCAAAAAATCTTCCCGTCTGGGCCTCCCAAAGTACTGGAATTACAGGCATGAGCCATGGGGCCTGGCTTCAGCTGGGGCTTTGGATCTGGGACTGGCTTGGATAAAAACACAGACTTGGTTGGGCATGGTGGGAGGCTGAGGCAGGAGGATTGCTTGAGCTCAGGAGTTTGAGACCAGCCTGGGCAACATAATGAGACCCTGTCTACAAAAATTAGCCTGACATAATGGCAGGAGCCTGTAGTCCCAGCTATTCAGGAGGCTGAGGCAGGAGGATGGCTGGAGCCTGGGAGATGGAGATTGCAGTGAGTTGAGATTGCACCACTGCACTCCAGCCTGGGTGCTGTCTCAAAAAACAAAACAGAAACAACAAACCAGAGACTCTGTGCTCTTGGATCTGTCCCCACCTCCTCGACAGGCCTGTATGATGTACACCTTGGGCTTGGCTCGCAGGGCCTGGCAGTTCTTGTTGTTCAGGGCCTCGAAGAGATTGTCCAGCTTGACCATCTCCCCATCTTCTCCCTTGAGCAAGCCTTCCCTCCCGTGAGCCATGAGTACCACGAAGGCACAACTGATGGGATCTTCCCGGGAATCGATGGCCTGCTGGAATTTTTCCAGCTCTTCCTGGAATTGCTGGAGTGAGAGGAAGAACCAGACTCAGCTGGGTCCTCATAGCCCACACATCCGACCTAGTACCTTTCCCCCAACCAGGCCTGGAGTAGGCACCCCAATACCTGGGCAGTGGGGTCTCTTTTCATGGTGCTTTCGAATCTCAGCTGCTGAAACATGTATTCCAGAGCGTCCAGGTCTTCTTCGGAACCTTCCCGGGCTTTGGTGACACACAGTGTTAGGGCCAGGCGGGCACCTGACATATCATATTTCTCCTGGGCCAAGAGATGACAAAAATCAGCATGGGGAGGTTCGAGGAGAAGCAGGTGTAGTCAAAAGAGGCATGCAGGCTGGGTGTGGTGGCTTATGCCTGTGATCCCAGCACTTTGGGAGGCTGAGGTGGGAGGATTGCTTGAGCCCAGGAGTTCAAGACCAGCCTGGGCAACATAGTGAGACTCTGTCTCTACAAAAAAATGAAAAAATTAGCTGGGTGTGCTGCTGTGCGCCTGTGGTCCCAGCTGTCTTGGAGGCTGAAGTGGGATGATTGCTGGAGCCTGGAAGGTTGAGGCTGCAGTGAGCCATGATCTTGCCACTGCATTCTAGCCTGGGCAACAAGTGAGACCCTGTCTCAAAAACGAACAAACAAAACAAGAGAGGCTTGGACTTAGGGTTGCCAGGTATAATACAAAATGCTCAGGTGCATTTAAATTTCAAATAAAAACCAAGTACCTTTTTAGTATAAGTATATCCCAAATATTGCATGGGATATACTTATACTACACAATTATTTGTTGATGTGAAATTCAAATTGAATTGGGTATCCTTTATTTTTAGTTCCCAAATACAGCAACCCAACCTGGGGTCCAGCTCTGTTCTAGCTTGGTATGAACTTGGGGGAAGTCAACTGCCCCCATCTGAGCCTCAGTTTCCAAATACAGACGATGAGTGTGTGTGTGATTTTGAAGATCCCTTCCAGTTGTCATATTTTGTGGCTTTGCAAGTCTCCTCATCCTCCCCAAGAGTGTTCTGAGCATTCCTCTATTACTTCCTCACTTGCAGAGGTCTCAGAGTTTCGGAAGCCAATACTGAGATCCCATCTGAGGAAGAATAATATTGGGGGTCAATATTTCTTTTGAAAACAGAAGCAGGGTACTGAGGACCACAGTGATAAGAACTTCATCTTTTAAAACATCAACATAAGCACTGTGGGAGGCCAAGGTGGGCGGATCATGAGGTCAGGAGATCGAGACCATCCTGGCTAACACTGTGAAACCCCGTCTCTACTAAAAACACAAAAAGTTAGCTGGGCATGGTGGTGGGCACCTGTAGTCCCAGCTACTCGGGAGGCTGAGGCAGCAGAATGGTGTGAACCTGGGAGGCAGAGCTTGCAATGAGCCAAGATGTACCACTGCACTCCAGCCTGGGTGACAGAGCAAGACTCCGTCTCAAAAAAAAAAAAAAAAAAAAATCAACATAAAATTGTATATTGCAGGACTTCTCAGAACCTTTAATGTGTTGAGAAGAACTTGATCTTTGGCAACAGATGTAGCTGTGTTTGACTGCCCCCAGCCCCCAGCCCAACTTGGGTTCCATCTCTGAGTCCTTTTTTGCTGTTTGATTAACTACAAACTACCTCCTACCTCTAAGTTCAGGTCAGAATTTTTCCACTCCCTCCACTCTTTCCAAAACATTAAGATCCTCACCTTCCTTCTCCTCGTATGATCACTCTCCCCTCAACCTGCATCCAGCCTACCTCCTCCGAAGACCGCAGATTGCTCATTTCTCCTTTGGTTGTGAGCCCCAGCTCTCAGCACCCTTGTCTGATCCTGGAGGTCAAGACAAGATAGGTTAAAGGTTTCTAAAGGGAGGTCGAAGGGCTCAGGGGACAAACTCTTATGCATCTGGATTTTTGAGACCAAATAGCACTCCAGTGTTGGAGATATCGTCTGTGGACAGATCTGGGCAATAGATGATAATCCATGAAGTAGTAATATATCGCCCCTAGAACGACAGTTCCATGGTGTCTTTCATTTCTGGATGTCTTCTTCAGAACTTCTGGGCCTACCCCACAATCCCGCCCCCCGAAACCTCCAGAAAACTTCCTATGTCTCCCTTGGGTCATTCACCAGCTTGTGATGGACCGAACTTCCCCCTGAAAGCACTGGAATGAGGAGCAGGGCAAGTGGCCCGTGTGTTTCCCTCTTCTACCCAGGAGATGACGGGCTGGGGAAGCCATCTCAAGGAGATGCCTTGGAGGAGCATTTAAAAGGAGAATGTCATTAAAGTGAGGAATGCAACTTTGATATTATCTCACTGGGTCTCCAATATGAAGGGGTCAGTCCGCCTCCCTCGCTCTTCCTTGAGTCTGAATGTCTGTCCCCGTTCTCTAGTCTCATGTCCGAGTCCTGTTCTGTTCTCTGGCTGCACAGACAGACTTTTGTCATACTCTTGGCATTTCCCCATCTCTTTGCCTTTTCCTACACTTTGTCCTCAGTAGGGAATGCTTTTTTTTGCTTTCTTTTTTTTTTTTTTTTTTGAAGTCAGAGTCTCACTGTCCACAGGCTGCGAGTGTTGCATCGATCGCTCGGCTCACTTGGCCAATCTCGTGCCTCAGGGTCTCAAGCAATTCTCGCCTACTCAGTCTGAGTAGCTGGGACTACAGGAACGCACAGACGCTGGCTAATTTTCTTTTTTTTCTTCTTTTTTTTTTGAGACCGACAGTCTTGGGCGCGGGCTGGAGCGTGGAGTGGTGCCCATTCAGCTCACTGGCAAGCTCCACCTCCAGGTTCACAGGCATTCTCACTGCCTCAGCCTCGACCGTCACTGGCGACCTACACCGGCGCCTGTCACCACGCGGGATTTTCTTTTTTGTCATCTTTTTTCGACGCGGGTTTCCACCACATGTTCATGCTGCTAACTTCTTCGTTGTTTTCAGCCAGAGACTGGGGTTTACTGTGCCTTAGCCAGCTGATCTTGATCATTCTCGAGTTGTGCATTGCCCACTCAGCTCCCACAGTGCTGGGATTCTACAGGTTGAGCAGCGCGGGAATCTTTTTGTTTTTTCCATATCAAAGCACTCCTTCTTTCGCGACAATTTGGGTGGCGTAAGTATCTGCTTTGCCTTCCCCCATCACCCATCCACTCATCTATCTTTTTATCCATCTGTCTATCCAGTCACCCATCAATTCATTCATCTATCCATCTACCATCTGTCCATTAATTCATCCTCTATCCATCCATTCACCCACTCACCCATCCATCTATTCAACCATCTGTCCATCTACTTACCTATTAATCAGTCATCCCATCCACCCATCCTTCCATCCGCACATCTATCTAGTCATCCATCAATCCAATGTTACATCCATCAATTTATTCATCAACCCATCCACCAGTTTATCTTTCCACTTACCTATCTATGGAGCAGATAATGGAAGTGGCTTTCAAGTTCCTGCAAAGCTGAGCTGCCAGTTCTAGGCCCATGAGAGTAAGAACCAAAACACCTGCTGTTAATTCAGAGTAGGAGACAAGCAGAGCCTGGGAGATGTACCAGAGAAAGGAATGAGGAAAGTTGCCAGGAGGTCAAGAGGGATCATAAATATATGATACCTGGGTTTGCCATTGCTGTTTCGCACACTGGGAGCTCTTCCCCAGGTTCCTTTGGCAGATGAGGAAAATCGATTAGTCTCGAGAAGGAGAGGTGAGATGCCGAAGGGCAACCACAGCTGGAAGGGAAACTCGAGGCAGGATTTGGTTCTATTTGTCCTGGCTCCAGGGCTTATGTTCTTCATTCCTCTCTCACAATTTTTTGGTTTTCTTTGTACAGCCCATTTGTCATGTGTTGTTGTGCATGAGAGAGGATATTTAATTTCATTTCTGTCACATGATCTAGAATGGACAGAGGTAATTGAGCGAGGCATGTCGTCTTATTTAATGGTATTCTAAGTTGCATAACAATTAATAGTATACCAGAAAATATTTGTGAGGTACGTGGGTGGGTGCGTGTGGTCTTGGGTGGTGGTTGTGGGTGGTGTCTGTTTGGGTGGGCGTGGGTGATGGTGCGAATAGATGGGTTCTCTTTGGAATTAGGAGAGTGCAGTCTTTTATTGTTAGATTTCTGCATGGAGTTGTGGCTCGAGTCCTTTTGATAGAGAGCTGAAGTTAGGATTGTGTGCTATAGATTAGGGTATGAGACTATCAAGTCTCTCCTCGCATGGTGGACGTTAGTCTGGAAAGAGGAAATGAATGTATAGATGTTAGATTTTATAGATATGTATGCTGTCATGTGTATATAAATGGTGACTATATATAGAGAGGAAAGACTAGGTGAGGGTGAGAAAGGCTCCAAGAGCTAGGCTGGGGTCAAAAGATGTTGGGTTCTCGTGATGGATGAAGCGCGAGAATGGAAGACGCTAGGAGCTCGCTGTTGTGTGACATACAACCATTCCTCTTTTTGCGTTTCCCAGTTGACTTCCATGCACTCATCGAACTTTCTAGGGATGACTAACTTCTCTTTACTTGTTGATTTTACCAACCATATAAGAAGATGAGGTAATGGCATAAAATGGATGGATGGCATGAAGAGTGACGTGCGTTGTGGAGTGGGTGGTAAGTGAATGGCATGGTGGATGGTATGTAGTGGGTGGGTGAGTGCATGGGTTAACTAAACGGTGGTTGGATAGATGGAATGATAAGAATTATGGATGAAGGAATGGATAAGGGGTAGGGCTAGATGGAGGGTATTGGTGTGGAAGATAGCAATAGATGGGGAGGATATGGATAGAGAGAGAGCATAATGAGATAATGGTTTTTCTTTTTATATGTGATAAATTATGTTTTGGTTCGTGTGTGTGTTTGTTATTGTGTAATATAATTGAAATTGATGGGTGTTACGATAGAATGATTGATGACCTGACAGATCAGATAATGTATGTGGGGATGGATGGATGTGTACTCGCGTATGGTATTGTTTATGGCTATGGAGGTCATGATCATTGCTGTGGCTGGTTGGATGTGGTATAGTGGTCCATACATGATGATGGAGATGGCC